ATGGAATATGTGCTATTAATAGGTTTTATCAAGAATTATTTAAAGCTAAAGAATCATTTAATATACATGAAGATTATAAGTTTAAGGCAGTATGCGATACCTTGCATACCAGAATGATTGAATTAGAAGAAATTAATAATGGTGATTATAATGGAGCTAATCCTCTTACTGATGAAGAAATGATTCAAATCTTTGAGCATCCTAATATGTCAAATAATACACCAGATGGATTAATAAGAAGAGTATTTTATGGATAGGATGTTGCACAGCACGAAGAGGTGGATCTTACCATAATATTATGGCTAATCATTTTAAAGAACGCGATAATAGTGGATTTAATGTTATAACAATTCATGATAAAACTCATCAAGGGGGTTATTATCATTGAACAAGCTCTAATTAGCATCCAAAACATATTATATCACCAGATGAAAATGGAACACATGGGGCATGCTATGATATTAAAAAATACTTAAACCTGCGACCAAAAAATGCCAAAGAAAATCTTATTTCTAACGAAATATCTAAAGAAGAAATTAATATATCAGAAACAGAAAAGGAACCATTCTCTGAAATCCAAAATATGATTCCTTCAAAATGTATAAATGATTTATTTCTTAATAATAGTCGACTTAAATTTATTAATTGTAGTAATATTACTATTAATATTGCAAAGTAATCCATTTATATGTACTAGAAATGCATAATAAATACATATTAAACGATCGTCTAGTAGGCATAGTTTATTTGCATAATTACGTAAATGGTGCCAATCAGGGGATAATTATTGTTATATTATTATTATAATTGTTGTTGTTGTTGTTGTTGTTATAAGTAATGTCAAAATTTTTTAGTATAGGTGGCGTACTTGATTTCATATCTTCATCATCGTTAGGATTGTTTGTTGACGTGATTGTTCTTTCAATGGTGGATTCGGGTTTTCGCTGGCAGCAATTGCAATCAAACCATTAACGTTAACACCACAACCTTTATTAATAAAGATATAAAATTTATTCCTTTCGGTGTTCTTAGCTTTAAATGTAGCTTTCTGCTGTTCATCCATTAATATTTCATAAACTAATTTTAAAAAAAAAAAATTTTTTTTTTTAAAAATTTGTTATTAAATATTAATAACAAGAAAATGACATACATGCATCAGGTCTTTCAGATCTTGTACAATGTGTTATATCTGATTCGTAAAGTGTAATAGTCTGAATGCCCACTTTTATAAATGATACCTAATTACAATTATTATAATTATTATTTAATAAATGATTTGAAAATGACTTAAATAGAAATTTACTTTTTTGATTCAATTTTCTTATTAATTATTGTGCTTTTATTTTTATTATATTTTTTTTTTTACGCTTTCATTTCTGGCTGTATTGAATTTTGGTTCTATTTTAATTATTATTTAGGATACTTTTTCAGGATATTTACTTTTTTTCGTTTCATTTTTTTATTTACTGCAACGAAAATAAGCATAATCCCGTAATTTCATATCGCTGGCCAATTAGTTCATCTCATTTATCACTATCAAAAAAAATAAACAAACGAATAAAAATCCCGAAACTTTATTGCTATAATAAGGCTGGGAAAAAAAATTTTTAGATTCTCGTGACCCGGCCTAATACTACAAACTCAATTTTTAAATGTCTGATAATATTTACAACAAACTTTTAATTACGTCAATATTTAACGTTAATACATTTTTGAGCACTAAAATACATATCAAAACGTAAAAAATTCAATTACATCAATATTTAATACATCGTTGAGCTTTAAGATACAATCAAAACGTAAAAAATATCAATAAAATAATTATAAATTTAATCCCTAGACTTGATTGCAAACGGTACACACTGGAGGAGTTCCAGTGCATTCAGTACAATTAAAGGTAATAGTTCCGCATTTACCGTTGCATACATCGCCGCATTCACCAGTGCATTTGACGTCATCGTTGGAGCAAGTAGGTGTATCGTCGCATCCACCAGCAGTGCATTCGCAAGCTCCACACATAAATGTACACACATCGCCGCAAAGAGGAGCGCGTTTTGTCAAATAAAATGGTGATTTTGCCAAAGGATTTGCCAAAGCAGAGACAGCAAACATAGCGAGCAAGAAAAGATTAAATTTCATTTTGATTATTTTTTTCTTCTTTTAGAAAAGGATTTTTTTTTATTTTCAAATGATATGAAAACATGGATGTATTTATAATAAATTATCATCTACATCTATTGATAAGAAGATTCTCTTTTTTGTCGACTAAATAGGAAAATCTAAGAAATTAAATCAAATGCGATTTAGAAAATTACAATTACATTAAATTTGGAAACAGTCATAATTAAAATAAAAACCTTATGTGATTATATAACAATCTGTCACATCGCGTCACACCCACCATTTTTCATTTTTTACTATTTAACCTGGGAACAGTTTTTTTAGGGTGTGAAAACCTATTTGTCACTCGTTATTCGCCATCCTCAACTTGTGGCGTGGCATTATGGTTAGGTAAGTTAAGGGTTGGTTTTTAATAAGTAAAATCATGTGATTGTTTAATATCACAATCGGTTATTAAAAATCCTATTTTTTTACAATAATTAAAAATTTTCTCATTTCACGAATACAGTTTAATTAATGCAGAAGTCCTGTTAATCATTTCTAATCTTTTCTTTTATATTATTTTCGAGAGTATTTCTTATAGAAATCGCTGCTGCGTTACGATAAACTTATCGTACTGTTTTTCATCCAAAAGACGCGCGTAATTCTCTTAACCTAAATTTTTTTGATCAATTTGGCGTCGAAGAAATTTGATATACAGGTTAGTTCAATATTTAAAATTTAAAATTTATAATACGCGAACTTATTAAGTTGGTCGCAAATTTAAGAAGCTCCCACAGACATGTTGCATTATTTTATTAAATTATTTAAAAATACTTACGTATCATTGACTTGTGTGAATTATATACTAATAATTAATCGACAACGAATTGCAAAAGAGCAATTACCATTTGTAACACCTGCCATACTTGTTTTCGCGGTACGATAAGATCTTCAATGTGTCATTCTTTTTTCTTTGAAAATAGTTTTTTTCTTATAATTTATAACAATGTCTGATATTATCAATAAAGATAAAAGTGTAATGAAAAAAGTAAAAAATATTTTCACCAAACATAAAAAAGAAATAAAAGGTATGAAGTAGGATGCTAAGAGATCCTAAGCGGAGGTTCTAGATTATGACTATATCCTTAATTAATTTCGAATTTTCACAAATAAATACATTATTATATAGAGCCGGTTTCTGATTCTTCTGATGCTCCTTCATTAAGAGAACTAGATAGTAATGGACATTTATTTGTTTTTTAGTCAAATAATAATATTTCAATTTATTATTTTTTTTTTTAAAAAAAAAATAAAATAAAATTGATAGATTGTTCTTTTTTTTAAAAAATAAAATAAAAATAAAAATAAAATAAAAATGATTAATTAGCCTCGCAACATATTTAGAAGCATACATTAAACAAACTCTTTTATCATTTTATTCCTTCTAATAAAGTCACCAACCGCATGGGATATTAATGATGGACGTAATCTTTTAAATTTTAATTCTGACAAGCTTATAGTGACTTATAACGGTGAGTTTATTACATTTCACGTTTTTAACATTTATAATTTTACTTATTCTTGCATAACTACAATTATTTTCAAATATAAGGTCTGGGTAGAGAAGAAAACTGTGCTGCAATTCGAGCAAATTTCCCAATTCCTGAACAATGTGGATTATTTTATTTTGAAGTTGACATTATAGATAAAGGGGAAAATGGGTGTGTTATAAA